TTCCTTGGAATTCTTTCTGTTTCTCAATCAGAAAATGACTAGATCCATTTTGATTGCCAAGCATGTTCTCCTTTCTGGAACTTTCTTCATGGCTCTGCTCAGGTGTCTCTTGTGGGACTTGATTTGAAACCCTGATTTTCGCTACTCGGGCTCTCTGTGACTGTGAGGCTGTGTGGCTTATGTCTCGAGCTCCCTGATGGGATGTAAGCCCCAGGGGAGGAGGGTATGTCCGTTCACTCTGCCTTTGAATCTGGAGGGATGCTTAGGATGTGGCAGAACATCCCTTTACATATTTGATGAGTAGAACCGATGAAGTAGAAAGTACTCCAGTGTGATGTCAAAGTATGTATGGCAGTCAAGATTCTGAAAAAGCAAATGCAAATCCTGGGTGGATTCTCCTACTTTAAAAGTCAGAAGATTCTCAAACTTTGACTTTTAAGCTTTGAATTTAATAAGCAATTTGCAACAAGATTGGAAGCTAAAGCTGAACAGTTGTACATATAAGAATAAATATGATTTAAACAATGAAAAACAGCCCGAAATATTAAGAAATGAAAAAATATGACAATACAAAGATAATTGGTAGCACTAAGAAAGATAGACGCTACAAAGGGGTCTGAGGTTTGTCTGCCTTTTTTTAAAACTTAGAACTGTGTAGAAACTTGGACAGGCTCCTAAGTTTGTCTACTTTGTCCTTTCTTGATGTGTCACAGAGTAAGTTCTATAAATAATTCTTATTGCAAAGTGAAAAGAAATACCTTTTAAAGGCTGATTGAGAGGGCTTTAGTTAAAACATTTTTCAGTTTTTGAGGGAAGAAAACTCTGTTTTCAGCCTACATGAAAACTTACCTGTTTCCCTTATGTTTTTTGTAGTTGGTGTTGGAATATGCAAATATTGTCCTCACCAAGACAATTTGATGTTTGGTTCTCTCTTCCTCTGAGCTACTCTTACAAATCTAAACTTTGTGATTCGATCTTAAACCACTTAGATCCCTTCAGCCATGGATACTGCTGTGTCTGGGATCTAGGGCTGCTCCTAGACATTGGATATAGCTATTTGCTCTTACGGTGGAGACTTATTTGTTAGATTGGCCCTCTCCAACTGCATTCTAATTTTGAAATCTCATCTTTAATACCTGATGTTGCAAAAGAGGCCTTCTGTGCCAGCCAGTGCCTGGGAAGCGTTCGCCTCAGGTCTCTATGACTTTGTTACACATTGTAAACAAAGTACTCATGCTTAATTAAATCCTGAACTTTAAATGATGGAGAGTTCCCTTACCTGAACAATAACCACATCCTAGTTATTAATCTAGAACAATAGCTGCGTCATTCTTCTTACCACAGCAAAGTTAATTACTGACCAGAAGAAAGAGCACATTCCGTGTACCAGGAGGCTGTTAACTTCTCGGGTAGCAAAGTACCTCTCCACCTTTATGAGAACGTATTGTCCACATTGCCTGCCAAGGCTTTGTCACCAAAGTTATTACTTTGTTTATTTTCCCCTTATGTTACTACCATTTCTACAGTCAGCTGTGTGCTGTGCTCACCGGCTGTCCAAACCGTCCCTGGAGAAAGTGCTGACGTTACCTTTAAACATCATCACTAGTTTCATTAAAGAATGTACTCTGTGTCCCTGGAAGGCAGCCCCAGGACACACCCAGGTTCCCAAAGTGGTGGGCCTGGGTGCATCTGTTTCCCAGTGCAGCCTCATCTGTTGAACAGGCCAAGAATGCTCATTTGTGTGTTTATACATGTGTAACTTAATATGACTAAAGATCTGGTATTGAAGTAACTAGAACTTGCTTCCTTCTTCTGGCTTTTTTTATTTTTTTTTTTTTTTTGGTACCCTGGATCGAACTCTGGTCCTTGCACTTGCAAAGTAGGCGGTAGAACCACTAAGCTAAATCCCTGGATCCATTGCTGTTTTAAAGTTAATAAAAAACAGTGTTAGCTTATTTTCCAGAAGTTATAGTACTGTGAAATACAGGAAAAGAGAGCATTTTAGTGTCAGCTGTATCTGTTAAAGACAGATTGAATAAGAGGATAAAAATTAAAGAGTTTGGGTGCCAGGAGAGAAATGGAAGGAGAGATTAAATTTAATGAAAGAATTTATCATAAACTATTTTATACTAGACCTGTAAATCTAGTACCAAAATTCTAATCTGTACAGGAATAATTTATTTTAGGACTCAGTTCTACAGCTAACTCTATGGAGTTGACCTATAGTGGTCTATTTTAATTGCTTTCCTTTTCTTTTTTCTGTTGAGTACCCACTTCTTCTGGTGAATTGCAGGCTTTGGTATTCGCAGTACTAAAGATTGAACCTAGGGGCACTCTACGACTGAACTGTACCCACACCTCCCCCCTTGTGTTATTAGTTCTTGGCTTTGGACAGTCTTGCTAAGTCACTAAGTTGTGCAGGTGGTGCTTGAACTTGCATCATTCTACCTTAGCCTCCCAGAGTGCTGGGAATACAGGGGAAATCTACCGCGCCTTGCTTGTGGTTATATTTGAGATAGCTGAAATTGTGGCAGGTAGTTAATACAGGTCTTCCTCCTCAACATTAATCTAAAATAATTATATTGTTATTCCTATAGCTAAATACTAAAATATCTGTTCTGCTATCTTTTATTACTTTCAAGTTGTACTAAAACTGGGTCATGGCTGGGTTGCAGTTCAGTGGCAGAGAGCTTGCTCAGCCGCAAGTGACAACAACAACAACACAACAACAGCTGGGTCCACACAGCTGCTCTGTTTGGAGAGAGGAAGATAAGGCGAGAAGATGAGAAAGCAATTCTGGCCTTTTCATTCAAATTACATTTAGAGTGAAACGCTTTGGCTGACTAACTCGTTGAGTTTTTCACAACAAAGCTTTATCGGGACGCTTCTGTGCCCTTTTGTTTGCGTGGCCTGCAGCTGTCTTTGTGCTGCTGTCGTGGAACAGTAGCTGAGATCACAACCACGAAGCCTGCACACCTGAGCGCATCTCTGCCCCGTGGAGAACAGTTTTACTGATCGTAGATAGGAACCAGAAATCAGAACAGAAATCAGTGTGCAATAATAGAAAGCACTGGTCAGTGTCATGTGGGGATATAGAACATCCTGAGACGCGACTTCAGTGTGACTGAACCTGAGAAGAAACGTGAGTAAAACTCTGGTTGCAGGCCTTTCAGCCTCCATGGGATCGGAACCCTATCACTGTGGTACTCTTTGGGGCCACCTCGGCCAAGTATGGACACAGAGAGCTCCCCTTCTCTCCTGGCAGAATAGAATACTGCCTGTGAGTATGTAGGCTCTTCCTTGAAGATTCATAAATTAAATGTGATCATAGCTTTGAGGTATAACTGTAGTTAATAAACCACACTGGCGTTCTCTGGCAAATTTCAAAATTTCTCCTTTGCTAAAGTTTCATGATACCCAGGGTGCGTCCTGTCCAGGGGTGAGTCTTGCTTCCTTGTTTGCCTCCATTCAGAAATGACTTGTTCATTTTCCTGAACCGATTTCTTACCCATGATGATTTATAGGCTTTTGATTATATGTCCTGAGAAAATAGTAAAAATATTGAGGAACAAAAAAATATTGAATACCAGCTCCAAAGGTTGAAATATAAAGCTATATCTTGAATGATTCATCAACCACCAGCCAAGGGCAGGAGAATTTGTTCTTGATTGATTTCTGGTCTGAACTTGCAGACCATATTTTGAGATAAACTAACCTTAGCCAGATTGATCTAACTTGAAATGAATCTGGGGTAATAAACTCATTTTGGTTCAGGAGTCAGGTGAACAGCCTACATTTCATTTCTGGTACTGTCATTTTCTATCATTTGCAACAAGGTAAAATGATCTGAATATTTGAGCCTCTCGACCCTTGGCTATAATAATACCTGTATCACATGGCTTCTATGAGATTAGCTGTACTAGGCTTTCCAGGACTCAATTAGGCATAGAGTAGGGATTTACTGCTTGTGGATCTTTATACTCTTTGCTTTTTTTATTTTCTAAGAGTAGGAAATAGTTGGCAGAACCACCGAATTAGGTTTTTTAGGATTGTTCATGAGCTAAATTCAAACTAGTCAGTGCCAGTGACAGACAACTAGCAATAAATATGTTGCAGTTGTGGGAGTGACTTATAATCTCAACACCAGCAAACACTAAAGAGAAAATATACCAGAATGACAGTGCAGATGATTTCACTCCATGCTCTGACCAGCAGGACTTTCTTGGTTTATCATTCACGTTTGGATCCAGGGATCTCTTCAAACTCCACAAGATGTTCTTGACCATCAGGAGTTTTGGAAAAAAATATTAATTTTTATGATACTATTTTAAAATTATTTTACTATTTATAGTGATAAATACTTTATTTTGCAGTAATCATTTTCATTGAATGTTTTTATGTAAGTCGGTTTCAGATCTGAAAAGATATATTGTGTGTGTGTGTGTGTTTTTCTTTTCGTAGTTTTGAGGGACATGGTTTGTGGTACTCTGATGCCTTTGGGAAGAACAGCATCATGGACCTGTAGTCGCAAAGGTTTAATAGGACACACTTTTACACCTGGCTTCTGTCTTGATGGACTCAAACTGGACCAGATGGGTTACAAAAATAGAAACTAGTAGTTCATGCTAAGGATATTTTATATTTATTTATTTTTGGTACCGGGGATCGAACTCAGGTCCTTGCACTTTCGAGGCAGATGGTGGAACCACTGAGCCAAATCCCCAGCCCTGCTAAGGATATTTTAGAGAAAATGTTTTATTTGAAACATGTGAAAATACTGAAATCCAGTAATTTACTACTGCTCTACGCTGAAATCTGCATGTATTAAAGATCTTCCCCAGATGTTCTGCTCATTTTATAATTTGCAATTCATCAGAATTTGTTCTCACGCAAAAATGAGAAATGCTGGTGTGGCCTTTGCTTTCCTGTGCCTGACTTTTGTTTTCTCTGTGGAGAGAGTCACTTCTCGTCTTCCCCTCTCTGCCCTGTTGCTGTCCTAGCCAGCCTGCTCGCCGGAGTCTGAATCAGCTGTGGCTGCCACCCGCGGGTCCCACACCAGGCCCGGTCTCCCCCTGAATTCTGAGCAGCGAGCGAGGTAGCCTGCGCCATGTTCTGCACGAAGCTCAAGGACCTCAAGATCACGGGGGAGTGTCCTTTCTCCCTCCTGGCCCCAGGGCAGGTGCCACAGGAGCCTGCAGAGGAGGCGGCAGGGAGCGACAAAGCCGCTGTGCCTGTCTGCCAGTATGTTCCTGAGAAGAAGGTGCAGGAAAGCCTTCCTCACAGGAAGACCAGCCGCAGCCGGGTCTATCTTCACACTTTGGCAGAGAGTATTTGCAAGCTGATTTTCCCGGAGGTCAGTGCTTCCCTTTAGAGATCTTAGTGGTATTTTCGAATTGTTTAAGCTTAGATAAACTGGCTTTCTCACTTTTCATAGTATAATAAACATAGAATATTTTCTTGAAATATATGAAAACACTCTCTTAAAATAGTGTTTTAAACTGTGTTTAATCTTTGAATGCGTAATACCTTGAAGTCTTGTCCTAAGGATCCTTCAGTCTGATGTAAGTGTGACCAGCTGCTTAATCCCCTTTGGCCCCTGCTTCCTCGTCTGTACAGATCGTGGGAACCACACTCCCCATCCCCTAGCCTGTTACCGTCAACTAAAGTCACGGACGGCTCTTGCAGGCTCGTCAGTCCTCAAGAGTAGGTACCTACTAATTTCAAATTAAATTCATTGAAGATAATGTATTTTCTTTCTTTTTTTTTCTTTTTCTTTTTCTGTTTTTTTTTTTTTTTTTTTTTTTTT